AGAGAGAGAGAGAGAGAGAGAGAGAGAGAGAGAGAGAGAGAGAGAGAGAGAGAGAGAGAGAGAGAGAGAGAGAGAGAGAGATTGGTGACTTTGGGACTTGACAACATTTGGGTCCAGACTCGACATTGGGATTCAGACATTTGACGAGGGATTATTGGGGACCTGTACCGAAGACTTGGTGTTGACGACATTCCCATCTTCCCCTCTTCTTCGTCTAACCCCCCTCTTCTTCGTCTGTGTATGGTTGGGGACTGGCGCATTCTTCCTGTGTGAGCGCCAGGCCCCTTCACACCATGGAATGATGATGATGTATGTCTGGTTTGCATGGCAACATTGATTGTTCGGATCATTGGTATTTAAGCCTTCCGGTATGCTATCTTGTACTATGTGAGAGAGGTTGGTTCTTGTTCTGGTCTGTACCATTATGGGATGCGACACTGTTACTTGTAGAACCTCGCTAGGATTACCCTGTTACTTGAACATTGATTTCCTCATCGATGTAGAACCTCAATAGGATTACCCTGCTACGTGAACATTGATTCCTTCATCCCTGTAGAACCTCAATAGGATTACCCTGCTACTTGAACATTGATTCCCTCATCCTTGTAGGACCCCCATAGGATTACCCTGCTACTTGCATTACTCCCCCTTTCCTTTTCTGACCAGTGATCAGCACCGTCCCATCCTTCACAATTGTTCATTGGGTCTTTGGCAGCCGGGACGTTGCCTTCCAGAGGGAGGGGATAGTGTTACGGACCCAGCCAGGGCTCGATCCCTGGTCCGCGGGGTACCACCCGCCAGGCTGCTATTCTATTTTTTTTGGAGTTTCTGATCTTCAGTTCCTGACCGTTGGCGCCCTCTGCAGTTGGCGCCCATTCTCAAATCCCGCCTCTGCCACTTTCGGATTTCATACTTGGCGCCATCCGACATTCTGGCGCCCAGGCTCAGACCTTCAATTTTCGGTTCAGCCCCGAGGCAAATTGCACTTTTGCCCTCGGACTCAACTCGAGTCCGGTACTTAAGACCGGACTCAAGCTGAGTTCGGGGACTCAGTTTCGGCCTCAGTGCTTGTGGTTCAGTGTGACTTGCTGTGACATTGTGTACGGAACCAAGATTGCGACTTTGCGACTTGACCACTTTGTGTCCATGTCCATCGAGTCGTGTCGAGTCCGTGTCGAGTTGAGTGAGTGTGTGTGTGTGCTTTCCCTCCCTCTCTCTCTCTTCCCTGACCTCGCTGCTCTGCCTCAGCCCCCGTCACACCACCCCGAGAACATGGAAGAAATTAAGCGATTGTTGGATCGATTCACGGCAGTCTCAGATATGACTGTGAACTGGGGGAACAAAACACTGGGATGGTGGATCCATCACCAAGGGGTGCGTATGCCGCTACAGCAGGCCAAAGGGTACCAGAAAACGCCCCTTTTAGAGTGTTAGGTATAATGCTAACGACATTCGGGAAGCCTGCAAGAATGACGACGGATCCTCAAACCAGCATTGGAAAAATTGACACGTTGGAATGACAAACATACGTCTTTGATTTGTTGGGCACTGGCAATCAACAACGCAGTACTAGCTGCCCTCTGGTATAGGTCGGCAATTTGGGCCCTCAGTAAAGAAGTGGTCAGATCACTCAAAAGGCAAATAACTGCCCTGCTGTGGAGAGGCAATAGTGAGCTTCCAAATGGTATAAGTAGGGTGGCCTGGTCGTCGGTGATCCAGCCTAAAGATAAGGGGGGGTTGGGCATCCTAGACCCAGATACTCAGGTGGCCGCACTGTTGGTACAATGGGTCAGGAGATTGGTATTTATGCCAGACCTTCCTTGGTACACCCTTGCACTGGAGCAGATTGCTAGACTGTCACCACAAGCGCCACGAGGTGTGGATCCCCTGACCTGGCTGGAGGACTGCCACTGGCCCAAACCACGGCGCCCTCAGGCCAACAGAGACTCCACCCGGGGCTCAGCAAGGAGCGACCTGACCAGAGATTACTTTTGGCCTCGGGTGCTGAGGGCCTGGTACCAGCTACCGTTGCCAAAGAAAACCCTGCCGAGTAGATGGGAAGAGGTGATGAGGCAACCCCTCTTTGGCAACAGAAATATTACTGACAGACATGGGAGGGTGCACCGTAGCTCGGACCCCCCCATGGAGCAGTTGGGTCAGAAACGACATAGTGAGGATCAGAGATATATGGGACCCGGCGAACGGAGACTGGAAAACGACGCCACATTTGAGGGCCCAGCTGAGGTATTGCCATGATGTTGAAAGGAACTTAGAAATACTGATTTTTGATGTCCCTCTTGACTGAGTGTGTACTCTTTCAAAAGGACTGCAGCTGGCAGAAGGAGACTGGGTCGCAGTCCCGGACGACATGGAAATCGTTGGCAACGTGGTGGAAATGCGGGCAGACGAATCCTTGGTCAGCCTCTTCCATAAGGGAAAGTGTAACGCTCTCACCAGGTACACTCCGGACGTGGTGAGGTGGTGGAGGAACGAGGAATTGCACAGGATCCGCATACTGAGACATGAAAATGAATGGACCGTGTTTCTCCCCGGAACCCCCCTTGCGTGAACTCCCCTTCGAACCGGAGGAGTGGCACTGGATGCCTGCACGAAGAACTCTAGCCAACCCGAACATAAAGTTCTTTAGTTTGTCAGTGAAGGCCACTTACCGGCTGATGCGGCCAATGGTGAACCTTAAAGAGATTGTGAAAGCCCGCTGGATATCCCACCTGAATTTAAGAAAGGAGAACATCCGCCCAATCCGGTGGTTTTCAACCATGAGGCCCAAACCGGCAAAATCCGCCTCGCTGCAGTGGCAGATAGAGCACCGTTGCCTCCCTACAAATAATTGGTTGGTAGATTCCACGTACCTGGAACAGAAGGGTATGGCGCTTCCCTGGTGTAAATCCTGCCATAATGCCTTCCCCTCCCGTAAGATCCCAGGGGCGGTCCTCACTTGGCGTAGGTGGGATGGGATATGGAGCCTCATGGGCACTGGATCGGCTTGGGCGTGGGACTGGAGGGCGCTGCTCTGCGAAGCATGGACCTCCCCCACGCACAGCGATTTTGAAAACAATAGGTTCAAGATCGGGAGGAGAGCCGGTTATTTGGGCACTTTGGAGGAAGCATTGCACATACACCATTGAGGGAGTTCGCATAGATGGAGAGGAAGTAACAGAAATAATAAAACAATATATACATCAAGAGCTCCTCTCACGATGGCAGAAGGTCAAGAACCAACTAGAGATATATCACTCAAAGAAAGACATCACACAGGCAATCAATTAATTCTCAGGGGACTGGCTGCGTAGCGAAAAAGGGGGCTTGATTGCCTATATCCGATGGGAGGGAGGACAATCTCCAGGGCAGGAGCAGGAAGACTTCAGGAGGGACTACTGCATCTGCTTCAAGAAATGGACTACGATGGACCAAGGAGTGCCGTTGTGCTCACCTTAAAAGTTCCCGGATCTTTTCCCTCCCCATCAACTGTCTTTGGTGGACATGCAATGGTACGGTGCAGAGTAAGCGAAAGGGGCAATGAGATGGAGAACCGCTGGGCAGAGCAGCTCGGAGTTCTGAGGGATTCGAGGCAAAGACTGCACTGGTGGATGGGTGAATGCAGGTGGAAGAGATGGAGATGGCCACACACAGCATCTTGTTACCCAGTCGCTTTTGGTAGGCATAGCACCGTATCTTTTGGTCATGTGGGACAGTGCCTGCGGAGTCAATCCCCGGTAATACAGGCAATCAATGCTGGCACGAGACATAGTGAAAATCAGCTTTGAAAATGTTCAGTGCTTTGAAGATGTTCAGTGGGACGCTGGACCCATTTTCGAGCAGGTGCTGCTCCCCACCAATAGGTTGGAGCAACCAGGCGGCCTGCTAGGAGGGGATGCTCATATCACTCCCCCTAGTGTGGCAGCATGGTTTAAAAAAAAGAAAAAAGAAAAAAAAAAGATGTGGCACTTACCCAGTGGGGATTTCTTCGATGGCTTCTCCTGCTTCGTACTCCAACGGGTTCAGAAAAACACCAATCATTGACAGCAAGCAATCGATAGCCGCTTTCTCATTATGTGAGGATAATGGCTCCTGCAAGGGATTGAATTCAAAGCAGCTGTGAGCTTCCTTAGTTCCACAAAGTGATACCTACAGAGTGATCCTCTCTCTCTCTCTCTCTCTCTCTCTCTCTCTCTCTCTCTCTCTCTCTCTCTCTCTCCCTGTGCCTGCCTGCCTGTCCGTCCGTCCGTCCGTCCGTCTGTCT